AATTACAAGTCAATGAAATAACTTTTACAAATATTGTAAGCTATTTGTATAGATAGTCTAAGTATAACATGCATATTATATACTTATAGTATACTTTTATTAAGATAATAATGATACAACAAGTGCTCTTACACTATTATATACATTAATATACCTTTTGCATAAATTATAAGGCAACAATTATTATTCTTATATTATTATATTGTAATTATCACCCTTTCTTTGAAATTATAATAAAAATGTAATGCAAGCATAATACTTTAGGCTATTATACAAAGTTAGTATAATACTTGTAATAGATTTCATTCATCCATAACACTTACTTAGCCTTTATATACATTACCATGTCTTATACAAACTTTACAATTGATTTGCAAGTCTTGTAATTACTTTACAATATACATACAATACTTATGTTACTTTACAAAGTCTACAATATATTATAAGAAATGCGACTTTTTCCTGATGTAGATGCACTTAGTAGATACAAGAATCATAATGTATAAATTAACTCACTCATTCAATATAACAAAAAACAAACTACATATTCATATTTGCACAAGAAAACAGCTATATAATATCAATTTTAAATCTTCAAATCCTCTCTATTTAATTAATTATGAGTGTAGTAAGATATGTATGCAACACACTATATATATGCACTTGAATCCGTCTGTTTTCACACAAATTTGATATATTATTTTTTCAAAAAAGGTATACATAATAGTAAATAGTATCTAAACTAGTGAAATATACAAAATTTTAGTCTAGATTTGCTCCGTTGTATTTTCTACATTAAATACAAGGAGGGCAGACACTCTGTTCACCACATTTTGACTGAAAAAGGGAAATTTTCAAAGTCTGCTCGACCGCGTCTCATAACCAAAAAGCGGACCCCCAATGCATATGCGCCTGGAGTCATTCGTACTCCTTTGGGTAAGTCATTACGGAAAAATTGAACTTGCGTCCTTTGACGTACAACTCTCGCAAGCCAGGGAAGTTGGCGAGAATAATCCTAAGTTAAGAGAGGTGAGCACTGCACAACGAATGCCGCATAGGTTTTCGCCACTCATGGAAGCATCTTCATAGGCCTTGGCCGCTATGCCGAATGCAGAACCTGAGGTCATTGCCAGTATAGTTTCTTATCTGGCTAAACCGGAATCGTATTTCGTGAATGGTACGTGCCGGATTACGAATCTATTCATCTTACTGATTCAAGCCTACTTTTTAACAGGGCAAAGTGTTTCTGTCAATGGAGGCGGCTACTTTGATTGAACGTCGCTAGACTGCAAGCATGACATAACACGGTTTATATTTTTACCAATAAAGGAATGTACATTCATGTTTGTTTCCGAGTTCTCATGTCAAAACCAGAACAGTATTTACTGCCGAATAAATGTTTATACAATTCCAAGAGTTCTTGGAAAGTACAGATAACTTCATACGTGAGCAAATAGATAAAGTACAATGACCACATGGTTGTAATTGGTGCGTTATTGTGATGGAATGGTACAAAGTTCTGTTATGGTTGTAGGCAGTATTCCTATACAGATTTCTGCCATCACTCATGTATTCAGCATATATAGATGTCTTTCTGGTGTAGTGGCTTTCCTAAATAATCAAGGGTCATGCATCTCAGGTGGTACAGTCCAGTTAAATACAGGTCAAGAGCCCTTCAGATTTTTTCCTTAACTTTTTTCCTTAATTATTTTTATTTTATTTAGTGTCAATTCATATGATGGCTCTGTTTGAAATTTAGAAATACATGTTTAATATCCATGTAGACTCTGGAGGCCAAAATGCATACAAAATCATATTTTGAATCATTTCCAAGACACGTCTGATAAATGGATGGTTATAATCGTCCTTTTACTCGATCATAAGCCCTGAATGAATGTAAACATGTTATGGAGCTGCACTAGGGCACGTGTGAAGTCGATTATACAAAGAAGTGCATGTGACCTTCTTTTGACGTGCCTTCCACATCGGGCATTTCACAATTTCTTGCTGTGAAAAATAACTTACATAATGTTAAACATTATTTGTAATTAAATTTACCATTTTTGATTGATAGAAATCATGAACAAAATTTCAAGTTTCTTCCATAATCAATACAAATACAGAAAAAACTTAAAATATTATTTTGAATTTCTACTAAACTGAAATGGTAAATTAAATTACAAATAATGTTTAACATTAATGTAAGTTATTTTTTTAAGG